CTTCTAAGATTAAGATAGTGTTTTCATCTAGGAATTAGTATTGAATTAGTTTTCTTATCTAGGAATTAGTATTGAATTAGTATTGACAATATTAACACCCCCATTTGACACCACACACACACGCCTGCGTGCACACACACGCACACACAGACATACATTCGCACATGCGTACTTCTCCTGCCTGAAAGTTTATCAGGAAGGCAGGTAGATGACCAAGACACAGGCTTTTTACATGAGATCTGCGGGGAGGATGTGGGCAGGAGGCTGGGGTAAGAGGTGGGCATGGGGCCATGGTTTATAACTGCTAGTTGCCCCTCTTGAAATTTTCACCCCTTGACCTGTGACCTTCCTCTGGGATGGAGTGTGAACCAGTTACCTGACAGGTGGGACCAGGGCACAAACCTATGTGGGTGGCAGGGTGAGGTGGCTCATGCCTGTAATCCCGGCACTTTGGGAGGCCGAGGCGGGCAGATCACTTGAGCTCAGGAGTTCCAGACCAGCCTGGGCAACATGGTGAAATCCTGCTTCTATTAAAAATACAAAAATTAGCTAGGTGTGGTGGTGTGTGCCTGTAGTCCCAGCTACTCCAGAGGCTGAGGCACGAGAATTGCTTAAACCTGGGGCGGATAGAGCATCCCTATGTATATACAGCAGACAGAAGTTGCTGTAAGCTGAGATCTCACCACTGCACTCCAACCTGGACGACAGAGTGAGACTCTGTCTCAAGAAAACAAAACAAACAAACAAACCCTATGCGTATGTATATTTTGATGCTCAAGAAAGTAAAATGTGCTCTGTAAACAACAAAACTGGATAGGACAAGGGAGTTTTTTCTGTTTTCCTGAGAGTGCCAACATTGTGCTCCCACATCATTGTTTATATCCCAGATTCCCTGGTTGTCCTTCATCTGGCACACACTCTAGAACAGAATGCGCTGTTTCCCACAGTGATGGAGGCCAGCACAGCCCGAAATGTGTCCACTCTCCAGAGGCAGGACAGAGGTAGTATTTTGGGTTCTTTGGGACTAGCACAAGACAGGTGAGTGGAGTGTAGGTGGGGTGGGCAGCCAACAGCGGCTGTGAACCCACCTCAAAGAAACTCCACAAGAGGCCAGGCGCGGTGGCACTTTGGGAGGCTGAGGTGGGTGGATCGTGAGGTCAAGAGATCGAGACCATCCTGGCCAACATGGTGAAACCCCACCTCTATTAAACATACAAAAATTAGCTGGGCGTGGTGGCGTGCGCCGGTAGTCCCGGCAACTTGGGAGGCTGAGGCAGGAGAACTGTTTGAACCCGGGTGACGGAGGCTGCAGTGAGCCAAGGTTGCCCCACTGCACTCCAGCCTGGCGACAGACAGAGACTCCGTCTAAAAAAAAAAAAGAAATCCCACACGAGCTTCAAGGGAGTGTCCCAAGAATGGCTCTAAGGGTCACGCTTCTCAGCTTTGGGGGTTAGCAGCCAGACCACCCAGCGACTGAGACCACTGGAAGTAGGAAAGAAGGTTGTAGAAAAATGAGGGTGAAGGTGAAGAAAGAGGAGAAGGGCTGGATGACACAAGAAGTATACTGTCATTCTGGGCACCCAGAAAATGAGGGGATCATCAGGGTTTCGGTGGTTTGTTTTTTGATTGTTTGTCTTTTGAGAGAGGTCTTGCTCTGTCTCTCAGGCTGGAGCGCAGTGGGACTGATCATAGCTCACTGCAGCCTTAAACTCCTGGGCTCAAGAGATCCTCCTGCTTCAGTCCTCTAAGTATCTAGGACTACAGGTGTGCACTATCGCACACAGCTAATTTTTTATTTTTTCAGCTAATTTTTAATGTTTTTGTAGAGATGGGATCTCATTTTGCTGCCCAGGCTGGTCGCAAACTCCTGGAATTAAGCCATCCTCCTACCTCAGCTTCCAGCAGGCGTGAGACACTGCCCAGTGTGGGAACCATCAGTATTTTAAAAAACAGGATTTAATATTTAATATTTCACAAAGAGCATCTATATATTGCCTGAGGGGCTGGAGGAGGTTAGGGCAAAGGTAAGAAAGGGAAGGTAATTCTTTAGTAATTAGGGCCTCAGTTATTTGTAGTAATGCAGGCTCAACAGGTCCTGAAAGGGCAGGGAGGAGATGGGAAAGGAGGAAAAAAAGAGAAAGATGGAAGATAAAAAAAAGATTAAAAGCCTGGTGTGGCTAATGCCTGTTATCCCAGCACTTTGAGAGAACAAGGCAGGAGAATTGCTTGAACCCAGGAGTTCAAGACCAGCCTGGGCAATATAGTGAGACCCTGCCTCAGAAAAAAAAAAAAATATTAAAAGAAGGAGAGAAAGAGAAGCAAGTATAAGCATCCACTGGCAAACAGGTACTAAGTGTTACTATGTCTTAGACTGAATGCTAAGAACGGGGAATATAGAATTAAAACTTTCTGATCTACTGAGAGAGAGAGAAGAAGGAGGAGGGGGAGGAAGAAGAAGAAGCAGAAGAAGGAGGAGGAGGAAAGAAAGAGAAAGGAAGGAAGAAAAGGAAGGAAAGAAAAGAAAGTAAGAAAGAAAGAAAAAAAGAAAAAGAGAAGAAGGAAGGAAGGGAAGAAGGAGGAGGAAGAGGAAGAAGGAAGAAGGAGGAGAAGAATGAAAGCTTTCAGGCCCTGCCTTCAAGGAGCAGTGTGCCACAGAAAGCTGGTGTGCAGACTGTCACTGTTTGGTCACCGGGCTGCTGCCGACACGCCATGCCTTATGGTTGTTTGTCCTTCAGGAGGAAGTCCAGTCTCCCCCGATACATGTATTTGTCTTAGAATCTTGGGCGGGGCCACAGCTCTGCAAGGCAAACCAAACAAATATCCTTTTTCTTCATTTAAACAGGCTCTGGCATGTTTACCATTTATTCATTTCATTTCTCTTTTTTTGAGACGGTGTTTCACTCTGCGGCACAGGCTGGGGTGCAATGCTGCAATCTCTGTTCACTGCAGTCACCGGCCGACTCCTGGGTTCGAGTGATTCTCCTGCCTCAACCTCGGGGGTAGCTTGGATTACAGGTGCACACCACCGCACTCAGCTACTTTTTGTATTTTTGTGGAGATGGGGTTTTGCCATGTTGGCCTGGCTGGTCTCAAACTCCTGTCCTCAAGTGATCCGCCTGCCTTGGCCTCCCAAAGTGCTGGGATTACAAGCATAAGCCACCACACACAGCCTCTTTCATTTAATTTTCAAACCTCGAGGTTACGCCTCACTACTAAAGCCATGTTACAAAGGATGTATCTAACCATTTCTTTTTTCCTTGGCGCTTTAAACAACAGGGACCCTTATGACAGCCTCTCTCTGAGGCATTAACTATCTTGGAAACAAGTTTGACCATAGATTAGATTAAGAAGGGAGGTCAAAACATTCCTGAATCACTTCTGGAGACTACATGGTTTCAAGGTGAAACCCCGGGTTGCACATCGGGAACTGACATAGGGGGTCTGCTTGGAGCTTCCTTTTCTTGGCTTTGGTTGGTATGCCAATGGCTTATTGCCTGAGCAGAATCACTGAAGGTGTGTAACGTGACTGAATCAATGCTCTGCACTGGCAACCAGCAGCCACCTGCACCTCCACAGACTTTTGGAACGCTCTGCTGCTGTCATGGAAGGCTCAGGTTACAGAGATGAGGAGAGTGTGTTCTCTGCCCTCTGGTTGCTTACAGCCTAAGGGAGGAAGCAGAGGCCGGGCACGGTGGTTTATGCCTGTAATCGCAGCACTTTGGGAAGGTGAGGCAGGTGGATCACGAAGTCAGGAAATGGAGACCATCCTGGCTAACATGGTGAAAGCCCATCTCTACTAAAAATACAAAAAATTAGCTGGGCATAGTGGCCTGCGCCTGTAATCCCAGCTACTCGGGAGGCTGAGGCAGGAGAATTGCTTGAGCCCAGGAGTCAGAGGTTTTAGTGAGCCGAGATGGTAC